GCTTCCCGCCGCGTACACGAGGAGGCGAGGAGGATTCTCCTTCGCGGCGACGGTCCCAGCCGCGCACAACACAGTCGTCGTCGTCGGGCAAAACAACGAGAATGTAAAATAATACGGCGGGAACGGGGAAGAGGAAGGGGGAGAAGCGAGGGTGGGGAAGAGGTCGTCGCGAGGAGCCATCTAAGGGAACCGAAGGCAGCTGGTAAAGTGCATTAACGGGCGGGGTGCAGGCGACGCAATGTCGGGGAATAGGCGGTCACTCGGCTCGGGGTCTTCTTCCTCGCTGAAGCTGCGGTCCCGCGCTGCGGGGCAATCTACAGAGCCTCGCTCAGTCGGGGGGCGGGCGCGTTCCGGTGCCGGACCTCCGCGACGCGAGGCCCCGCCCCCTCCGGCCCGCACGTCACCCTGATGCCACTTCGCTGCGCAACCACCGTCCCCTCCGCGTTTCACGCATCGCCGCGCCACCGCTTCGCGCCCCCCCGGCGATGCGCGCGGCGACAGGTGTATTCTACGTACGCGGCGCGGAGCAGCCGTTCGGCGGCGAGCGCCCTGGGAATATTTAGATGCCTAGTTCGCAGAGGCGACGGGCGGCCCCCGTAGGGCGGCGCGAATCGCGCAAGGAAGGGTCGCGGGCTCGGGGCGGCCGGCGCCGCAACCGGCAGGCGGACGCGCTCAGCCTTGACGTCTGACGAACTTGGTGCTTGGTCGACATGGTGCGGCGGCGATGGTGTACGGTTAGCGTATCGGACTGGGTTATAGCCAAGTTGGCGGGTTTTTAAGGGCGAAGCCGTGGATTTTTAAGGCGAAAAAAATCCTTCGTACACCTTCCTTCGAGGGGAAGTAGCAGACGGCTTGCACATGTTCGTAGATTTAACAACTTGCACGTAAAAGATCCTCAAAGCCTAAATGACGCCTCAGATCAAAATTAAATCGCCTGTTTCGTGCACCGCCAAGAATACCTTCGTTTCTCGCGCTTTAATTGGTGATAGGAGCGTAGCGAAATTTGCGTTTTGTTCAGACGGAAGAGCAGGCCTGATGGCCCACGTAAAAATAAGGCATTAACTCAATTCACTTCAATTTCGCCTCCTAGCTTTTCGCCCACCTACTAAATACTTGTATCGCGGAGGGGATAGGGGTGCTAAAACACGCCTATTGAAGGGGAAGCGGGTTCACAAAAACAGCAAGCTCCAGTCTCGCCCTAATTGGCAATCTTACTGAAGCTCGGTTCAAAAAACAACAACTAGGTCTTTAAATAGGAAACACACCACGTTTTGCATTCTTTCTTTCCAACGCAGTTCGGGGAGTTCATCTCTAAAAACAGCTCTGTTATCATTCGCCTTCACGGGCGACACCCAGAAGAAAAGACTGAAGGGGTTAGGGGAGGGCGGGGGGAAAAAATGTAGACGAAAAACCGCGGTCGACGAGTGGAGGCGAATGATGAGCGAGTGTGGTTTACGCGCACTTGCGGGGGCGGGAGGCCACAAAAAGGTGACTCTTGAGCCGGCTAGCGCAGGGCGGTCCCCCGGGCGGCAGCTCGCCGGCCCTGCGCCCCCCTGGAATTTTCGGTGGGGGTGGGTGGGGGTGCGAGTGGGGGACGGAGCACATACAATTTCGCGGAGCCTTCACGGCGGCGATGAGCACGGGGGCGGGCATATGCAGGCGCGGCGCGGCGCGCGGCGCGTGTGTGGTGTGTGTGTGTGGTGTGCTGGGGGGGAGAAAGCAGTGTCGCAAGGGGGGCGGTTTTCGAAACAACGCTCCCGTACGTTCAGACGATTAATTCAGAGAAAAACATAATCTAAAGCTTGGCCATCTAAATAGTTGGATAGTCTTCGGGGTTTCATTTCAATAGGAAGAATGCACGAAAAGGAATGCATTCCGAATTTTGCTATTCAGGAGTCGAATGTACATATTCCGCTCTTTCATTTATTTCTGGTAGCAGATCTTTTAATAATGTCGACTTCACTGTAACTTTTGTCAGAAGAGAAGGCAGACAGAAACATTATTATTATTATTATTATTATTATTATTATTATTATTTATTATTATTATTATTATTATATTATTATTATTATTATTTTTTTTTATTATTATTATTATTATTATTTTAATGTTATTATTATTATTATTATTATTATTATTATTAATGTTATTAATTATTTTAATGTTATTTTATTATTATCATCGTGTATAATATCATCATTTAATTGTATTCATCGTCGTCGTATCTGGTAATGGAAATGCAATTAATGCACGTACAGAAAGAAAAAGCACATTATACCCGCGTTAAGGTATTATTCACACGATTCAGTTGCGAACGGTAACTTACTAATGCGCTTCCGGAGGCGGGCCGTCCCTCGCGGCCCACTCCGCCCCATCCCATCCACTGTGGCGGAGTCGCCACGGCCGTCGGTCCGAGCCTGTGTCCCTCCTCCGTCGTCTCGCGCACGGTCGCCGCTGCGCTGCGGTCTTCGCGTTTGTCGTTCATCGGTCTCCTCAAAGCCACCTCCAGCCCCTCCCTCCTCCCTCCATCATATCCCCCTCGCCCTCCCCCTCGCCTTTTAAATATAGGCGGTGACCGAAGACACACGCGGGGCCCACGCGACGAACTGCGCCGGCTCTTCGCCCCCTCACGCATTCACACACACTTCGTAGGTCCTCACAAAAACGGTGACCTACTCTTTTCGATGGGCCAGACAGCACATTACAAACGCGGCTCCCCCCCTTCCCCTTCTTCTCACTCTCCTCGTCTTCCCTCCGCCCACCCAGCGCCTTTTTTTTTACATGCAATTTTAACGTTTGGCATAAAAACATTTTTGATGTTAAAAGCCTGGTCGGCGTCGGGAAGAGGGTTAAGTCTCCTTCATGAACTCGCGGTTACTCGCGCCGTGACTGCCGCCGCGCCCACAAGTGTGCGCGAGCCGGCCATGATATTTTGTCAATTAAAGTGTAATGATATGCAGATAGGACGGCGGCCAAACACGGGGAACGCGGCGAGATTCTATTGAGGGCGCCGCG